ATAATAATAATATTAAACATCCTGTCTTCTACCAGTCATCAACTTTCTATCTAGTTATCCTTGACCATAAGCAACCTGCAGGAACTCATGAGAATGACTAAGCATTTAACAGTCTAACTAGACATCCTGTCTACTCTAAACAGTTCTAATACATAAAGTATCTAACCAATATCTATCTGACTAAAAATACCTAACACATGTATATACTGGCATAGCAACAAATTCCAGTTTCTGCAAAACATACTCTTTTTACACTAACACATGATTTATTCAATTTGCATTGGTGTCTTTATAGTTCTTTACTTTGACAGAAACAGGACAGTGATGAAAATGTTTGTACATTCATTTGCTACCAAACACAACAAACCACACATTTACGAGTATGAAATTTTAGATACATCCTTATTTTTAGGCAGGAAACTCTTATTTTCAGGTTCCACTGAAGCTCTCCATTTAGCTAAGTGATGTACCCATATTGTTGTCACAAAGCTGGAAGCTAATTGTTTTCTGAATTGTTTTCTGTAGCATCAACATTTCTCTTGATTTGAATAAAGGAATCTAGCCAAAATAATAAAAAAGTGACCCAAAATACACACACACAAAAAATGTGGACCATACAGTTTGCTTTGCTTTTACCTATCATGCAGCTGTCTTTGGTGTTCCCTACTGGAGCTTCAGAGAGGTTATCTTACTGTCCAGCTCATCCATGAAGCCTTCATCCACAGACTCACTGTCTGTTTCTTCTCCCTCTGCCTCAGTGGGCAGAAACACATGAAGCTGAGTACGAACTGGACCAGCAGCCAGAGTGCGGCGCTGACTGCTGTTCAGAAGACATGGCTTCCCAGTGACAGTCAAAGGCTCTCCCCAAGACAAAGCATTATGATATTGTTTCGCTAAAGGTCGAAGGTCACGTTTCTCTGCGCTGTGGGCCAGGTTGTGTGTGTTGTGTGAATGATGTATTGGCTTGGAGCTGGGCTGGATGGCCTGGGAGAAGTTAACGTAGGCTGGTCTGCTGCAGCTTTGGACCTGCTGTTGGTTTTGCTGCTGATGAAACTGGCTGGTGCCAGACTGGTGGCTGGTCTTGTAGGGGAGCAGGGCTGATGACCTGGAAAATGGAGGAGGTGGTGGTCGCCTTTGTGAAACACTGTGGAGATGGTTGCCAGAGAATAGGACATACTCATTTGGGGTGAGAAGGGAGTGCTCACTGAGGCTGGGAACAAAAAGAAGTGCAAAAAAAACAAGAGACACAGACAGAAAATTTAGTATTGGAAACATTTTAGACATTTGTGTTAATAAAACTAAAAGTCATGCTAGCAGCTATGTGAGGCTGTACACATGCATAGCAGTGTTTGGAGCTAAATGCTACTGTCATGCTAATATGAATGTCAAAATGCTGGTAGTGCTAAAGGAAAGTCAGTAGGTTTTATCCACTGGGAATCACCTAGGCTATAAAGTTGTAAATTTTTTTAATTCAACTGTTTCATGTGTTAGGTATTTTTAGTCAGATAGACATTGGTTAGGTACTTGTATGTATTAGAAATGTTTAGTGGAGATAGGATGTCTAGGTAGGCTGTTAAATGCTTAGTCATGCTCATGAGTTTTTACAGGGTGCATATGGTCAAGGATAACTAGATAGAAAAGCTGATGACTGTCAGCAGACAGGATGTTTAATATTATTATTATGACGTGTATAACTGTAGCCTTAGCCATAATATGTTCTTATGTTTAATGTCATGACATGTCACTAGAGGTCGTGTGAGAATGTTTTTAGCTACACACCACAATCAACAGACACACACACACATTGATTTTCTTCATGTTTTGAGTACTGCTATGGCCAGCTGCAAAGCTGTCCCTGGGACACGTCACGGTTGACGTTCCTGTGTAGAATGGGGCTAGCCCAACCGAGGAGAGATAAATGTATAGGCCTGGTTCGATTCAGGGTCTTTTTCATCCTTCAGCTGCCTGCGTGCATGTTGGAGGTGGAAGATACCTGAGCGTGTAATGTTAATTTATACCTGTGTTCATTGAATAAATCAGCACTGTATTGAAG